AACCCATACCTAAATGACGTTAGCACATGTGAAAACTTCAGTCAAATCTATTTGTCCCTCTCTGTGATTCTGCCTACAGCATGAAGCTGGTTAACCCACTCAGAGAGTATCAAGAATTAAACAGTGTGCTTCAGAAGTCCTCCCAAAGCAAGACTGGGTAATGTCCTGCTTCAGTGTAGTCCTTTGCCATAACTTGTAAATGTCACATTTCTCAGAAGGCTTTTTCTCCTTAAACAGTTCTCACATAGGAATAAAACACTATCATCAGTCTTTCACTTTACTTCTGCCCTAACTCTAATAAAGAAGATACTTTTCCTCTGAAATGTCAAATATTTTAAATAAAAATTAATTACCATTTACAAGTACATTTAGGGTCTAGTTCAAGAATGTAAGTCAGGCGATGCTGTGTCATGTCAACTATATCCCTAACACAATTTTCTGCGGAACTGAACTTCAAGGGCAGATGCTGCCCAAAGCTGAATGGGGTATCTCTGAGTTCATGCTTTGCACAGAAAACTGCTAAAGAGACGAGAAGGCCTTTTGCATTAAAATTATCTACACTGCTACATCATGCAGGGATATCACATAACATACATTTAGAGTAATTCAAAGTTTTGAGCTGTCCACAAAAACGATACATAACTAATCCCTGATGATTACAAGAGTAGTTCTTTTATTTTCAGCTATTACCAAGGCAAATTCCTTTCACAGGACAGTGAAGGCTGAAGCCTCAATGCCAGAATGAGGCTAGACTAGACGGAAAAAGAAGAGCAACATGTAGAAAGTATACTGTCAAGATGCAGTTCAGACATAAATCGTTCATATATGGTCTGAGCTCATCTAGGAAGTGAGAATTGCTTATTGCTGAAGTAATTATTGCTTTAATTCTTTATAAAATTAAGGAAGAATCACCATAAGTAATTCAGAAAAGAGAAGTGTTTTCCTCTGGAATGCAGTGGTACCAAATAACCCTCTAGCAGAGACACCCAGAGTGACAAAAAATAATCTTACATACTTTCACCTTTTAAGGGCTATAAAAATTGCAGCAGTATGATCAGATACTGTACTTTCATTTAAATAATAACTGTGTAAAACCTAAACTGACGAAAAAATTTCCAACTAGTTTACTGAAAGCATGGTCAACACTGTACTTGGGAGTTGCTATAAATAGATTACAATCATGCAATTTAAGACCAGATTTTGGAATGCGGATCACACAGTTATGTCACCAAGAGCAGGTCATTGTCCTGTTCCTACCAGCAAGAATGCAGCTATCAAGAACATTTCACGCTCAGATCAACTGTGCATTTAAGTATCACTTGCTTTCAACACCCACTGAATAAAAATAGAAGGGGACAACAGAGAAAGCTAAAAAAGCACAGAGTAATTTAATGATGTATCTTTAAGCTGCTGGCCCTCCCCTGTATTTCCTGCACAACCTGTATCAGTGCAAACTGCAGCACCAACTTCGACAAAGCCAGAACTTAATCTACAGAGTTCACTCAAGAATTTTAAAAGGGAGGGGTTAAACACAAGCTCAGTGGCCACAACTAAAGAAATAAGTAACAAGGAAGAATACTGTCTGCCTGAATCCTAGCATGTTTTATCTCCATTAACTCCCCTACCTTAAAGAGAGCCTTGTGCCAACTTTCTTTTAAAGGGTAATCACAGTCACTTAATCTCTTTGCCTCAGACTTCGGCATCTGTATAAAATGGGGAAACAAAAGCCTATTATCTCATGGAAATAATATGAGGATGCTATTTAGTAGTATCTGTTCTGAGTATTAACTTATACGTGCCTTCATAAACTTTTTTCCCCTCAATATTTTAAATTTTGTCTCCTTGCCTGGAGATATTCAAGAGCTGTCTGGAGACACTCCTGAGTAATGTACTCTGGGTGACCCTGCTTGAGCAGGGAGGTTGGACTAGATGACCCCCAGTAGTCCCTTCCAGCCTCAGCCATTCTGTGATACTGTAATACACAGTCTAAACTGTGCGTAGGAATAACCTCAAGAAATATAAATGATATAGAAATATTTTACCTCTTAAGAGGTAACCATTCCCTTTGAGACTTTGGAAAAGGTCAGCATAAACTGTTCAGCAGTACCTAGTGTAGTACATAAGCAGCATAAACATTTAAACTCCTTTTTTTCTCCCTTTCATGTTCTGGATAGCATGGCTTTGGACATGCAAAGGAAACTCACAGAAGCATCACTTGTTTAAAACCTATAAAATTCATAAATCTATCTTCTGAAAAGAAAAAAATGCCTCTTGTACACTGTGTAAGCTACATAGCTCTAAGGAAAACAGGAAAGTGCAGTGTTATTTCCCATATGCCATGCCAGTTAACACAGAAGTCAAACGTAGGAATTTTGTAATAATGAACCTATGTTGCTGAAGTGTTCATTACCTTCTGCAACTCGCACAGACACACATATAAACACATGTAATAAATGTGTGCTGCAATGTGGGTATGAACCAAAGTGATTTCTGAAACTCTCATCAATTACTTCATCCATCCATATGCATAGACAGACACTAGCATACCAGTTTTAACATATGACAGCAGGGTATCTACTTGTAAGACAGCACACTGAGAATCACCAACAGAAGGCTGGGTGCCTGCCCAGGAGAGTGAAGATTTCCTACAAAACTGAAGATTTCCTACATTTACTGAATAACTAATGCAGCCTATCTATGGTATAAGGGATAGTAACAGAAGATCCTAGTAGGCTCGAGCAATTTGCAGTAACAGTGCAACTTTGACAAACCCTGCTGCAGCGTTGACAAACTATTTTGATGACTGGCACCAAACATACTTGAAGAAGCCACTGCAGCTCATGGCAGTATCTATGCTGCAAGACAAATGCACTGCAGACTACAAGACACAGCCCTGGTTCCTCGTGCTCTGGGACAGACTCCTGTCACTATTCTATTCAGTACAATCCTCTGTTTTGACATTTCTGGTTATAGTTTTTTAAAAGAATTTTATATAGCTATTACAGTTATTTACATTTTTCCTTGCTTATTTTACCCACACAAAACCATAACGAAAAAAGTCTTAAAAAGAATCTGAAAACACACAACCCAACCCTATTTTATCTGTTTGGCCTATTACCTTCTCAAAGAAGGGACTTAAATTGATTTAATCTCTTTGTAACTGACAGGTTGTATTTTGTAGAGCTCTAAATAGACAACTCACTGGTAGGTTCTAATTGAATAGGAAAAAATTTTACTGGTCTGATGAGAGTGCGTTCAGGAGATCTGATTTTTATGTAAATGCTTATAAAAATTCAGCAGTGTTGAAGAGTGCAGATGACTAATCTACAGGTGAATCATTCAGTGATTACTATGCTGATGTTGATAACAATTCTATCAATTAACATTTAACAAGCAGAGCTCTCAAAACCAGAAAGTATCAACAGATAGTCAGCTACTGGCAAAGGCAGAAGAAAGCATCATGAAAAGTAAAATTACAGGCTATTTTGAATAGTTCTGTTAACCAGATGAGGTTTCTGAAGCATGAGTTAGTTACTGTCTCCTCCTCTGCTAATCTGCGAAACAGCTCTGCAGTAACATCCCACGGAGATCAGCTTGCTTGTTCAAGACACCTTGAAAACTATACCAGGTAGTCACACAACAGGCTACTGGCTGATAAAAGGAAAATCAGATTGGATAAAATTCAGCAGAACTCATGTCTTCATTAATAGCAACCCACATCCAGTGAGATTCAGGTACTCCTCCTGCCTCTTGCAAGTAGAAATTCAAATGCTTAACACAAATTGTAAGGGTCGTTGGCAAAGCCTTTGGGAAAAAGTGCCCTTTGGGAAAAAGTGCCTTAGTTTAATTTATTTTCCTTTCATTTTTATGTGGAAGACACGTTATTAAAAGTTTTAAATCTGAAAACTAATGACAGCTGCTTATTTAAGTAGTTGAGGCTGCTCGTGGTACACCAGCTGCTGGTGTCTATACAATGTATTTGTACCAGAAGATATCTATATACACTAGCTTTATGTTCACTTAATTTGAGTGTGTTTTCCCCCTCGTAACTGACCCAAGATCAGAACAAATGCTTCCAGGTCAGTAAAACGTTCTCATTTACTAATCTTGCAAAGCACCTCTAATTTAAAACTATTAGACTTAAATCATGCTATTCCCCACCCCATTATCTGCAGATTCAAGAAATCCTGATATTGGAAGTCAATTTTTATATCTGAAATAGTGACCTAAGGGGTTTATGTCACGTTAAAGCACTGTTATTGTTCAAAAACTTGCATCTGCAGTTTCTGAACTATATTGAAATGGAAATATGAAAAAAGAATCAACTCACAGTATCAATTGAAACATGGCAGTTATGTGACGTCAAGCTCAGGTGTGTGTTATGTGAATCAGGAAAGCAACCTACTTAAATCTTCAGACGCTGATTCTTTGCATCCCATTAAGCAAAGATTTCATTCTTACTCACTGATGCTTGCAAGTTTTTTTCTGAGGTCTTCCTTTCCTATCTGATTGACTCTATCATGATCTTGAATCTAATGATCTTATGTCACCTAAACAGGAATAAACAGAGGCCCCGAACTAAAATTACTTTTATTTCCTAAACTCAAATATTTACAAATGGTCAAACATGTCTGTATAGTCAAGGAAAGGAACTTCTAGACAATGCTCACTTCCTGTAAAATGTAGCTGCTTAAGTGATCCTGGCATAAAAAGCACTGGTCTAACAAAAGCAATCAGAATTTCCTCCTGTATTTGGACCCAGTAACTATACAGCTCACTACAAAAGAATTTTTCTGCCACCAAGTAACAGTTCATGTTTTTTCAGGATCCAAAGCAGAACTGCAGGTCTCACTTGCAAATGAAACCACTGGTTTTAGACTCAGTTGTAAGGTAAATCTTCACTTTTTCCTATCTCAGGTTATTACCAAAACAGGAAAACATTTTGCAAACACTCATGCATGTGTAAATATCAAATGTTAAAAGCTCAAGTGACACAATACTTGAATTTCCAAAGACCACATCCCACGGAGAGCTGATGGGCTGTTCTTCTCCTTTTGCTCCACCTTCCTTATCAACACCTTGTATCCCAATGCCTGCTACAGTGGTCACCATCTCTAATTCCAGGTCAATCTACAAGGAGCAAAATTATACACACTGAATGTACAAAATTAACTCAACTGAAGTTACAATTTCAGCTAGATGCCAAAACCAGAGTTTTTGCTCACAAATAAAAAACAAATCCTAACAAATGTAGGAAGATAATGAATTTCACCACAATGCTAGCTGATGGGGGCAGTAAGCAGCAGGAAAACCACATCTGGAATACTCTTCAACAAAAATTAACACTGTTTCGTCAAGGTTTGCCCAGCAGTTGCAGAAGCAAGCACCAAAATTTTCTAAAGAAATACACAGATGATGGATGTGGATGTTTTATTTTAAACTTCTATAGGAATATGACATAAAAATTCAGATACTGTAACAGCATCTCCCATCGCATTTAATTTGTACAAAGGAAATTATTTTTGCAGTTTATGTCATGCCCTAGGGCAAAAAAAAAACCAAACGTGGTTTCATTTCTGCAGCTTAAATCCCTTTATTTTTCTTTTCCTTTTGCTTATTTTCTAATCAACTTCCAATACTGCTCATGCATTTATCATGAAGACCATGTAAAAAGGGCGTCTTCCACACACAGAATCTTCCAGCTTTTGTAGCAGTAAATGCACTTTTTGCAAGACCCGCGGCCTGCACAAGCATTTGAAAACAAGCCTGTTGTATTAAGTCTTGGATACCCTCATGGCACACTTAGATGAAAGAGAACAGCTAATCATCACCAAAAATGCTGAAGTGGTATGATCCAGATCTTCAGATGTTTCTGTGCTGTCTTTGCTACCTGCAACACTTCATATCCTGTGGTCACCAGGCTATAGTGATGAGTGTCTCTAAGATGAGGACCCTGAAGCAAAGTGCTCATTTTTAGTACACAATGTTTCTTTACCAACCAGGAGCCTTGGTCCTTTCCAGAATAAAATCTGGTAGCCAGCAACAATGAATACTGTGCAGGGAGTTTGTGGACTAGTGCTTTGAAGTGAAACACACAATGAACCCACTTAACAGTACAAAGGTACTTCGAACTAAGTAAAGAAGTACCTCCTCTGATCACAAATCATGTTAGTGAGAATCTGAGTACAAGATCTTCTGAGATGCATAAAACACTTTTAATAAGGTAATACTATATTGCTTCAACAAACTTAAATTCTCATTATTTTAAATTTGACCTAGCCAAATGTAAGATCCAATGACTATATAGAGAGAGTAACATTCCTACGTCCTAAAACAAGCTAAACTAAGTGTTTAATAAAAAAAAAATTCCACATGCAGGCAATTCTGGTATTACAGCACTTACCAGTCTGTACTTTAGAGACCAAAACAGCTCACTGAAGTTTAGATACTCACTGAACCATAGTAGTACAATAACTTTAGATTAGAATCAGATACTACTGGAAGCGAAACAAAAACTATTTTGTTGTAGTACTAAGAATAGATGTTTCTCATAACAGGAAAGTAAGAGTCACTAGGAAAAAAAAATCAAATATGCCGCAGCAAGTAATGTATATCATCTTCATTTGAAAGGAAGCACAAAAGCATATGTAGCCTTTAAACAACAAACTGCACAACAGCATTTATTTATAAGATATTGGGCTGAATTTCCTTCCTGGTGTTGAGGGTATTCCAAGAGTAAATAATCAGAGTAAATAATTTGGTGTAAATATTCACCTCTGTAAGTAGAATAAGGTATAAGAGATTGAAGTTTGAACTTCCTTGCAGAAAATTTACCTTTCTAATCAGGTGATTTTCTGTATCAGCTACATAAATATCATTATTTTTAATAGCGATGCCTTGTGGTGAGTTGAAAGCTGCCTCTGAAAATCTTCCATCTCTCCTACCACTGTTTGGACCTATTAATGAAACAAAGAAAAAACTCAAAAGTAATTACAGAAAAAAAAACCATCCAAACAAACAAAACCAAAATTCATACATTTAAACTTGTAAAAAAATTACACATTCTAACAGGCACTTTCACAGCACCTTGTGCATTTCACATTACTCGCCCACTGTGGGAGCGGATCAGTTCAATATCATCTTAGGAACCTGAACATGCACAAGTCCATGGCACCTGATGAAATCCATCCACAGGTCCTGAAGGAGCTGGTGAAAGAAGTTGCTAAGCCACTGTCCATCATATTTGAAAAATCATGGCAGTCAGGTGAAGTTCCTGACGACTGGAAGAAGGGTGATATAACCCCCATTTTCAAGAAGAGGAAGGTGAAACACCCAGGGAACTACAGACCAGTCAGTCTCACCTTTGTGCCTGGCAGGATCATTGAGCAGATTCTCCTGGAAAGCACGCTAAGGCACATGAAAAACAGCGAGGTGGTTGGTGACAGCCAACATGGTTTCGCTAAGGGGAAATCCTGCCTGACCAATTTGGTGGCCTTCTATGATGGGGCTACGGGACTGATGGACAGGGACAGAGCAGTTGACATCATCTACCTGGACTTGTGCAAAGCGTTCGACACTGTCCCACACAACATCCTTGTCTCTAAATTGGAGAGACATCAATTTGATGGATGGACCACTCAGTGGATGAAGAACTGGCTGGATGGCCACACACGAAGAGTTATGGTCAACGGCTCAATGTCCAGTTGGAGACCAGTAACGAGTGGTGTCCCTCAGGGATCGGTGTTGGGACCTGTCTTATTCAACATCTTCGTCGGTGACATGGACAGTGGGACTGACGCACCCTCAGCAAGTTTGCCGAGGACACCAAGCTGTGTGGCTCGGTTGATACGCTGGACGGAAGGGATGCCATCCAGAGGGACCTGGACACACTTGTGAGGTGGCCGATGCCAACCTTATGAAGTTTAACCAAGCCAAGTGCAAGGTCCTATGCCTGGGTCAGGGCAATCCCAGGCACAGCTACACGTTCGGTGGAGAAGAGATTCAGAGCAGCCCTGTGGAGAAGGACTTGGGGGTGGTGGTTGATGAGAAACTGAACATGAGCTGGCTTCAGTGTGCACACACAGCCCAGAAAACTAACCATATCCTGGGCTGCATCAAAAGGAGCGTGACCAGCAGGTCGAAGAAGCCAAAAGAGAAGTCTTAAAAGGCTTTTAAATTGTTCCTGTTCTCTTGTACTAAATGATAATAGCTACAACACAAGACAGAAATAAAAGAATTACACCTTTTTTTTATTCCCAGCTACATCAAATCAAGCCAGCAGGGAAATCTTTAATTTCTCAAACTCAATACACTTTCAGTGGTTTAGATTTGGTGTTACCACAAATGAAACTATTATTTGATTAGCAGCATTTCCTCATTAGTAACAGTTACGAAAAAGATACCATGGAACTGGTTACACAAAAGAACACTAAGAATGATGGAGTGACAAGTGTTCTACACAGAACCATCAAGAAACAGAAAGGAATATGACCTGAATATAACAATATGAAGGTAAGCATTGTATGTCAGTGGAAGTAACATTTAAAGTGCACTAAGAGTATGTGTCAGCAGAAGACGTTCAGGTATGAGTTATGTGTGCATCATGATTTATGATGCAAATATAGTAATTTCAAACTTTGTGCATGCCCACATTTGTTACTGTATTAACAACTTCATTACATTTTCTGCCCACTGAATCATTTAACTGAGTCACTGAAATACACAAACTTTTACAACCTACTGTCAGAAGACAATTTAGACCTCAACACAAAGGACTGAGGTGCTGGTGTGTCAGATTCCAGTAGTTCCCCTTCTAAGTGCCAGGGTGCAAGCCCCCAGGGAATGCCACGTGAAGGGGTTAGGGTACTTTCCTCTAAATTGCTGTCTAATGACTATCCCAGAACACTAAAGAGCAGCTTGTTGCTGGATTCTCTATCTCACATACCAAACAGAAACCAAATTCTCTCACTTTTGTCATAAGAAATGCTGTTGATATTTCCCATAGGAGAAGGGTATTAAGACTACCGCCTTTATGAGGTTAACTTGGGTAACTACTCTGTCTATTCAATGCACTGTTACTTCAAATAGCAAGATTTTCTTCCTTTATTTAAGTAGCAATGCCACTGGTATTTCCATGAGGTTTTTAGGATGCTACCATGGAGCAGGCATTAGTCAATACCAGACCCATGAGGTCCTGATTCTGAGACATAAATGAATCATTGTTGTCAACAATCTGGGGATTCAACCATTTCCTGCATCTGTCAGTTATGCTTGCTCATGAACAGGCTGTCCTGACAGCTACGTACTTGGTGCATTAAGATGTACTTCTACCACTGTAACAGATTCTAAGAAGGAACAAATCTGAATGTTTCATTTCTGAAAGAGTAAAGCATATGAAGAGTGTACAAACGTTCTTGATTTGCACTGTAAAGCAGATAATAATTTTACTTGGTAACAAATGTAGCTAAATTTAAAATAGTTCACTTCCACTATTTTCGTAACTTGGTTGTATGTTACACCTCAGTTTTGGTGACAAGATAGGCCTTTTCACATACTCTAAAGCAACTTCATTTTCAGGTGCCTATGTACTAGTGCAAGGCCACTGTCCTCAGTAATTCTCCCTTCCTCCAAAATCCTATACAGGAATGCTCTTCATTTAAAAAAACCCAACAACCAAACTAAAAACACAGACCAAAAGCTTCCCCACGCACCACCACCATCACATTTTAGCATTCATTTCTTCTATTTCCCTTCCTTGCTGCTGGATGTGGATGTATGTCACTTCAACCTAAACCCCCCTGCAACACTTTCATAAGAATATAAAATGTATTTTTTGTAATTCATACTATACTATATATGTAATTATACCAGTAGGTCCAGCAAACATACTCTACTCCTAAACTAAAATTACTGTGACAAACTTCTATACCCTTACCTCCAATAGTGTGTAGAATTTGTCCATTTTTTTGAGTAACCAATATCCTATGATGTCCAGTGTCTGCTATGACCAGCCTTTCTCCTGAATGATCCACTGTCACTTTGCCAGGAAACAGCAGGGGAGAAGGTGGGAGGGAGTCTCTGTATAGTTTTATTCCAATCTTGTTATCTTTGATTTGTCCTCTTTCCTTGTAGAATTTCAGTGTTATAGAAGTAAATAAAAACAACTTCTCTCTGTGTCCCTCTCCAACAAGCGAAAAGAGCATATTGCCACGAGGCCCCAGAATGACCAGAGTTGGCCAGCAGGACACTTCAAGTTCATGCCACAGTGTTGCATCTGCATCATTTACTACAGGGTGGACAATATTGTATCTCAGAACGGCACTTTTAATGTTATCCAGAACTTTTTCATTTGGGAATTTCGCCGAATGGACTCCAACAATAATAAGACCATCTGAAAGGAAAAATAAAGTCATGCACTGAAACATATTTGAACAAAAAGTAAAACTGAAGCAGTTATCTCACAATGTGACTGATTGCTTTCCAGAATAAAAGGGTTTGAACAAACAAAAAGCAATTGCATCTCAGTAGGACTATAAATAGCTGTGTAGACAAAATACTGAAACTCAGAAATAACATTTCAGTAAAATGACTGAACTTTAGGACCATTACTTCCCCAGCTGGTTGACATTTAATGTCAGAAATTGTTCTTAGTTCCTGAACCTCTACATACTAAGGTAGAAAATACCTTCAAGATAATTACGGGTAAGTTGTAGCAGTTCAACTGATACGTTGGTTTTTTTCAGATGTTTATGACATCTCTTTGCCTTTTGATGCCTATACACAACTATGGTGGTTTAGAAATTGAATTCTTTCCCACAGTTAAGTAGGAATCACAAGTGTAACACTGAACTCTGTAGTCCAGAGTTACTTTGGCGTATCCAACTCAAACAATAACAAAAATGTATAGGCTTCTGAAATCAATGCAGTATTCTATATTTCAAATAGCAGCATTGGCAGCTGTGACAAAATGACAAATAACACTTGGTATAAACCTGAAAGGCTTGAATCCTTTCCCTTAACATACAATTAAAAAAGAAGGAGCAAAAGAGGATTAAATCACTGACTTTTACCCCTCTCCGTAAAATGTTTAACTTCACTTCAATATGTGGATAATAAAGACAATGAAGAGTTTAGATTTTCTGATATCAGGGATTAACTGCACTTGAAATCCTGATATGAAGGTGTTGTCTAAGCATGAAGTAATGTAAGTCTGCTTCTATACACTGCATACATAACAGCAACCTTTTGCTTATTTTCTTAGTTTTATGAAATTTGAACACAGAAATAAAAATCTATGGCTCAGACTTCAGCTGCTTTTCCCTTGTGATGAGAAATAAATCTACTTCCATGTAAACAATTATGTAAGCAGCTCCAAATTTCCCACTCCCCATTCCTACCCAACAGAAAAAAGAATTAAGAGCCTTCTTTCAGTAAAGACACTTTCCAGTACTGTCTAGGAGCTAAAAAAGAGGGAAAAAAACAAAACCAAAACCCACTACATGCTTTTGCAGGGCTTTAAGTTATGTTTTACTAGTGTAATCTCCACCAAACGAAGTAAACTGTGCATATGACTTCAACACCATACTTTGCATCTCTTTGTGCTTAAAGAATACTACTAGCCATAAGCATAAGCATAATCTTGTTATAGTTGAAGTATCATGTCAATTGTACCTGAAGTAAGGAAGGTAACAATAGTAACCATGAAGTTGTAGAAAGCTGCAATACAACAGTTTTAAACCAGAACTGTCAATCTAATGGAAATCCTTAGCCATTAACCTTACTACTTGTCCAAATATCACTCATGTTTCTGAAGAGTGCGAGCATTTTGCAACCACAAAAAACAACTGAGATCTTTATTTCTTTGTGCAAGTAAAAGTTTCAGATTTTCATGTGATCTTTTTTGTTATTTGGAGGAGAGGAGAAAAATTGAATGGGAAGGGAAAATATCCTTAGAGTTGATAGCCAACTTGAGTTATATTTTACCACAGTATAAGAAATTATTTTGACAAAAGTACTTTATTTTTTCCCAAGTCTATAACATAATTTAGCATTTGTAAACACTTTTATCAGAACCATTCAAGTATCTGTGGTGTTTACTTCCTTCCCACAGTCACCAGTGTCTATAGGTGGATTCCTTACAGTACTGTATTTTTTCAGTAGTGGAAGTAATTCTGGAAAGCAAAGAAGACTTGGAGTCCATACAGAGTGGCACAGAGGAAGAACAACCACTATCCAATCTAACCCAATTCTGATGATGCTTATACTCTGAAATATGAGTGTAGATCCTTGAAGAACTTCATAAGGTTCTTAAATCAGATTAATTTGTGCTCATACACATACTCACTGCAATTGAAAATGTTGTATTGTGCTACTACAGACAAAACAGGTTTGGTTGAACAGCTATTACATTTAGGTAAGTAGCATACAATTCAGTTACAAAGGCAGATACGCAATGTGCTTCTCTAAGTTACTTCATGCTTACTCTAATATCGTTATATTTATCCTGAACAGTAGCCACCAGAAACGGCCCCCCTGAGAAGACACTCATCTGGAAAAGACTAGTTTTAAAACAAATGTTTTCTCAGCAAGGTTTTAAGACTTAGGAGTTTCAGTTACCTGAATTTTTAGAAGGCAATTTTTTTCTCATTCAAATATAACCACTTGTTATGACAGGAAAATAGTCTAAACACAACATAAGCTAAATATTTGTAATCACCTTGCTAACACATTTATTTCTTATCTTCTAGCTTCTTACAGTTGCTAGAACAGTAACCCTCTTTCCCAGTTTTTATCTCTTCATTCTTCCAGTTGCAACTGTAGTTACCAAAATCCAGAATTAGTGCTCTCAGAAGAAAAGCCACACAAAAACTAACTTCTTGCAGCTTGCATAATTCAACTTTCTCCTTATCAAAGAAAGTAATTTTATTTATTTAGCATTCTAGCATTTTAATTTTTAATCCACCAGAAGCATGCTTTTTTTCTGCAGTAACTCACCTATCTAATGCATTTTACTTCATTTGGCATCTACTGTTACGTGTCACGCAAGAAGTCACTCTAAAATGGAAATTTACATCACTACTGTTATTTGGCATTTAATACCTAATGAATTAAAGGGCTTCACTATTTGGAAAACTTCAAGCAAATATGTAAAAATGAAATGCTTTTGTAGAACAGACCTCCAAAAGCTCTGCAGTTAAGAGTCAGTGGAGTTTGCTATTGCAAGAACAATGAAACCACCCTCTGATCAGAGATCAGGCCTGAACTAGGGCCCAAAAAGTTACAACTGCAAACAACTGCATCTAAGGACATGCTTTGGAACAGAATGTAGTATATACTTTTATGCTTTTCTCCTGCCTTTACAGTAGAGGTGCAATTTGGTTAGCTGGACATCTTTGTTCTACCCTCAGCTCTGGTTTCGTGTTAGAAATGTAAGAAAGGCAGTTATTTCAGGTCTTAAACAGTTGTGCTCTGATGAGTTTGTTTCCTTCCAGAAAACCTGATTTAATCTCAAGTTGGCTTTTATTCAGTTACAAAGAAGTGGAAAACTATTTTTCTCTTTTAGCCCTTCTCCCCAGCCATAAAACAGTGTTCATGGAGAAGAATATGATCTTCAGTGTGACAACAGAAAAAGGTAAAGTGCTGCACAATATAAGACTTAACTGAATATAACAATTTCACAGATACAGAATTATAAAATCACTATAATTGATATAGTCTTTATCAACACTATAGGCACAGCATGTTGCAGTATCAGATAGCTGAAGTTGTAGTATCGTGAACTGTTGTACTCCAAAGAGCAGGTCAAATATTTTAACTGTAACAGGATCAGCAGCAGCACTTGTATTTGTCCTTCAACAATACCATTAAAACTAGAAAGGCAATTCTACACTGAACATGTGAACAGGACAAACAAGTTAAAACATTCCCTACTGAAGAAAGCTCTTCTGGAAACTGATGGATGCGATGCTGAGATGTAAGAACATGCACACCATTTAAAACACTTTATTCAAAGGATTATAACAGAGCACAACACTGGATTTAAGCCAAGCTATTTCTGAATATTAAAAAGTACTCCCTCTTATAGAAGTCATTTCTGGACTGCTGATAACATGAACTGAATATGCACTGGAGTTTAAAATAACTTCCTGAATGCCACTTGAAACACAGAAATAGCACCACTGAAGATAGCAGCGAGAACATATCTGATAAAGATGCTGGGTGACATTTAATCCTATGGAAAGCAGTCTTCATTTTTAAGCAATCTCCTGAAGTTCCAGACAATAGAACTATGTGCATATGTACAATGACTATATATATATATGTATATAGAATGGTTTAGGATCACCCCAAAAATAGAGCTTCTTGTTTTCAGACTTCTCATGTCTGATGATCACACTGCTGAAATGTCAACATACTCCACATAAGAGGGTATTTGAACAACATTAAAAACAAAGTGATCAGAGTATCAGATATGTCCATACACAATGTCCTATCAAAAAAAGGCATTACATCAGTACTGAGGTTTGTTCTTAGTTATGCAGAAAAACAAAGGCAACATTCCTTCAAATATTCAAACAGGCCAAATGCATTATGAGATCGATGCTTTGTCTGAGTAAGATGCTTGTTTTCATTCTGACTAATATTGTGTGCTAGCTCAGCACCCTCTGCCATTTCTATAGAATGGTAAATGTATATATGAAATGGGTAAATAAATGCTGTGTTTACAGACCTGAAATTCAGTAAAGCTGCAATTTCACTATGTATTTCATTGACTCTCTGCTGCCAAAAGAAATCATGTCGCTCATCTTTTGATGAGACAAAAGCAGGTTTTTTGTTATTCACAAAAAGGTGGTAAGATTTCAGAACTAACCCAACTAAAAGTGAAGGGACTTCTATTAAAGAGCAGAATAAAATAGAACAAAACTCCAGAATACAGCTGAAGACATTTTTAAAACATTTTTTATGTCCAGTATCCTCTCTACATCAGTTTTATTTGTCCAACTTTCATCTTTCTCAAGTTTCTTAAGTCAACAACTCTTCCCTCCTCTTTCTCCTCGTGACTGGTAAATGGTGTTTACCTTTGGTGAAGAAGATGTACATTGATATAAGTCCATCTACTGAAGTATTTTTCTATGGCTTAAAACCCACACAACTCTTACTACCTTGACATATTTATACGTATTACTGTAATGCTAAAATTTACACACTTAGCACAGCAAAGAAAGATTAAATAATCCTGAAATTGCTGACAATCAAAACATGAAAAGAGCAGAAAATAACCAAATGGGAGATCTATACTGAAAAAAACAATGTATCTTTGTTTTAACCCTCAAGCGCCTTAATCTCTTCCTGAATCCAACTATTATCCTCTGTTTCCTAATGGATTAAATTCAAGATTAATGTTCCAAACACCTGCTCTTCTTTCCTTTTACCTCCACCTTCATCCTAAGCATCTTTTTTTCTCACTCTGGTTCCTGTAGGAACAGGATAGCTCAAACAGAAGAAAAATTTATCACCTATGGGCAAAGTACTTTCCTCAAGTAATAACTCCTCTGACAGGAAGTTTAATACAAGTCAAACAGAAAAATGTGCCTCCAAGTGGAGTTTCAGTTCAGTTCAGAGTGCTGCAGCTTCTTCCACACTGGTGAAGAGATGCTGAAATACTTTAAAGAGAAAGCTTGTGGGGACAGGTTGTTAAAATGAGTTATCAACTGATTTAACAGCTCATTCTTAAAAAACAGATTAAGAATATGACAGCTGTATTAACACAGTAACACCGTGATACAAAATGTTTATAATTTAAAGATATTATTCATTATATGATCAATATAATCTTCTGAAATCTCGACCTTCTTCCCAGCACGGCTGGTATCCACAGCAGTCCATTTATAATTTGCTAATCACCTTCTACTTAAAAGTGCCTCCCTCCCAAAAAAATGCCTTGAGTGTTCCTTATTAAAGTTCCTTATATCTGAAACATTATACCTGATCTCCTGTTTCTCCAAAGCAAACAGCTAAGCTTTCCAAAGTGGAAAATTTAGTTCGAGTCTTCTGTCAAGCACTATGTAAACCTACAAGTGAACTCCTTAAAGAACTTGAAACTTCAAAGACATTGTAATTTCTTTTTCTAGTGAAAGAAGGCAGCAATAATAAATGCTGCCAAAATTAAAACCAATCAGAAATGCCAATGGAGAATCAGAAACTTAAACTTTACAAGCTAAGGTTATTTACTGCATATATATGTTATATTTAATACAGTATTTTTAGGGCTGAAAGTAACACTGTTCATCTCACTGTTCAGTCTATTAAAATATCCAAGATAAGCAAGCAGCTGATACATTCTGTGTAAGACCAGAGCTTATCTCTGTCAAGTCATCATGATGACAAGAGACTGCATTCTAAATAGTAATTACCCTATATTTTTATTCACTCAAAGAGAGAGATAAGATTTCATTTCAGATGTGACTTTCAAAAGCTTAATTCCCTCTCCAGAATACAGGACTACTAATAGTACATAACTTGATGCCAATGCAAAAAAACCCCAACCTTCTAAACCAAGCTTACATATTTTGTTATTTCAGTTAGACTGAGAAAAAGCTCCAAGTGTTCTTAACTGCATCCATTCTGCCATCTATATTCTCAGAGTTAGTCCTTAAGTCAAGTGTAGAGGGTTACATACTTGCATTAACTTTGAACCCATATCTTACGTCCCTGCGTAGCTTTTTGCAAATAGCCTTATTTATGAGGATATCAGATTTGGGCTTTGAGCACATATCCTGTTTCTTTAATTATACAGACACAACAGATACCTTATATAACCCCATTTAAAAATGTGATGGGAGTACACACGGTCACCTTTTTTAGGCTACTTAAAAGATTAGAAGACATTTTTAGGCACCCCTGAAACTTTGCCAGCTGTTTAGTAACCAGCAACAAAGTGACTCAGCTACTCCACTGTCAACAGTGCCAGGAAATTCTATTCCAAGCGAGCCAAAGCACTTTTACCTTTATCAGAGAACTGGTGCTCTAATGCATGGAGATCAGGCAGCAGGTGCAAGCAGTTGATGCAGCAATAAGTAAAGAAATCCAACACCACAACTTTTCCACAAAGGTCTTTGTGAAGAGAAATAGGACCTTCAGTGTTTAACCATTGTAGATCTGGAATTCAGAGAACAGTGATAGCCAGTTAGGGGAAGGGTAAGGAAAGGCAGATACTTACAGCTAATATGCACACCACCACACAGCACTCCTGTGTGTTTAAAGAAATAAAAAAGTTCAACATCCCTTTCTACACAGGAAGAAAAGCAAACCACAAGTCCTCTATTTACCCAACTCATCCTTATGTTCCACCATTCTTCAGAGAATCATAGAATGGTTTAGGTTGGAAAGGACCTTAAGATCACCCAGTTCCAAGCCCCTGACATGGGCAGGGACCCCTTCCACTAGAGCAGGTTGCTCCAAACCCCTGTGTCCAACCTGGCCTTGAACACTGCCAGGGATGGGGCAGCCACAGCTTCTCTGGGCACCCTGTGCCAGTGCCTCAGCACCCTCACAGGGAAGAATGAGAAGTTTATGAGATTTAATGTAATACATTAAATGTATTAAATGTATAAACTAACGAAAGTGCAGTGTATATATCTTAATAGGCACCTTTTAACTGAAAGAACATGCAAGCCTCAGAACCATTTTCTTACATTTAGAAATACGATCTATTTTATTCAACCCCTAATAATAACATATGGGTAACAATTAATTATTTAAAACCCACATAAATGGTAGTAAACTAAAGAACTGTTAAACTCGATTTTCCAGCACATTTGTAAAGAACTCTTTTCAGAGATGACTGAAATATTTTTGTGGTTACAGTTTTGATCTTGGTTTTCAAAGTCTGAGGTGACAGGTATAAATTAATCCCTTTGCATGGGAAGACATATAGCCTTTTCAGATATACTTAGCAGTAATCCTGGTCATTTATTTTAACCACTTGATATGAAGCATGAAAGCATTCTTTTCTCACAGGTAACTGCTGTCACTTTGATCGCATAGAAACTGATCTCAACCTAAGAAATAAATATCCTAGAATGCAGTCTGCCATTATTATCACTTAACACTTCTGAAAATAATGGGTAGGAGAAAAACAGATGTGAGGCAAGGCAAAGCTGAACTAAATTTCTGAAAGCCTGTTTTAAAAAAAAAATATGCTGACTAATTTAAAGATCCTCAAAACTTCCACTCTGACAGTTTCTGCACATCCAGTTCTTACTGTTCCAGGAGAGGTTACTGCTGCTGAAGCCAGCAGGCGGCTTGTTTTCAGTTTCACTAAGGGGAGGACTGATCTCTACCCCCATATACTTATAAACAGAAATGGATGCACACACTTTCAGATTTGGTGACTATAATAGTTATCAAATATATGCATTATTTCCATGGTATAATGGCTCTGCTGTTTACATTTTAAACGAGTGGGGTATTTATTTTAAGGCATTGCTCCTCTTTTCACTAGAATTAAAATACCTTTCATAAAATATACTGGAAGTAAAAAGTGTTGACTACCCATGTGAGCTCTTTTAGAGGAGAAAATAAGCTTTGACAGAACACAGAAAGCGAAATAGTGCGAATTACAAAAGTGAAAATTCATCTCAGAGGTCCAAATCTAGAAAGAGCATTCGCTTTGTTCCAATGATTATAAGTCAGAATTTGTCCCCATGATACAAGTTTACCTCCTGAGGTCTCTGTCTTGCAGTTAGATATGAGCAGAGCTGCAGAGAGCCTCACTGAGGTTAAAAGGATCCTGAGCAGGGCTTAAAGGATTTTACAAGACTTAACCTTTGATTTCACAGTTAGCAGAAGAAGAGATATAGAAATGTGTGTGATCTGTGAAAGGGAAATGGGCACACCACTGAAGAAGGATGACATCTCCAGGACGGTTGTGTTTCCAGGGGCACAAAACCTGACAAGCCCAGGTAAGTCATGGGGAGAGAGAGCTGGGAAACATCCCAAGTGGCTGCAGTGAAACCAAGGGAACTCAGGAGAAAGCTGTGACAGTTTTTGTTATGACAAGAGGAGAGAGATACCAACATACTGTACAGAAGGGAAAAGCTTTATTAAAAAGGGAAAGTAAATTAATGAAACTAACAGAGATTTAGAAGAGAGGCTTTAAAGAATAGATTTTTGCAACCAGTAGCAGGGGGAGCACTTATAAGAGGATTCTTTCTGCTCATCCTTTGCTCCTGCTGCTTTCAGGAGTGACATTTCCTGTGCTTAGAAGTGCTTTAAAAAAATAAAGCAGCTAACGGGGCCATAATTACAGGGCCTTCGCAGGCAGCGGGACTTGAAGGAAAACGCCGCACGGTGAGCACTAGAACTCAGCCACCTCTGCCGAGGGGCCCTGCTTCGCGGTGGGTCTGTCCCCCCCACCCACCTCCGCCGAGCTCGGGCACCGTCAGGTCCCCCTCCCGGCTGTCCATCTTCTTCAGGTACTGGTAGACCAAGTTCTCCTTCTCCTGGGAAGTGTCGGCATCGAGCAGGGCGTACTCCAGCTGGGTCTGGGCGGGCAGGAGCCCCGACAGCCCCCCCGCCGCCATGACAGCTCCTGGGCGAGCCCGAGGGCCGGACCG